CAGCACCTTGCTTCCAGTTTGGCAAAGCTTCTTTAACAGCATTGCAGGCAGCGTTCAGCCAGGGAAAGCCATACGTCATGTGTCCTGGAGACCTGAACATGGCTGCAACGGTGAGCCAGGGGATGGTGGCGTGTAATTAATTTGGGAACATGTGTTCGCTTTCCGGTGAGTTATTATCTTGTCAGAGGCTCAATGGAAGCAAACGGGTAGGAGGAGGCAGAAGAGAGACAAGTCGGGCTGGGAAAACAAGGAGAAGCAAGGGAAGGAGAAAGGCAAGGAGGGAGGAATGTGGATGCAGGAGGCATCAGCAGCATGCAGGACCCCAAGCACAGCGTTGCCAACTCTTGGGTCTGCCTCGATACTTCGTGCCAGACCTGAATCTTGCCTCCACAGCTCCTCCACCGCCGTGTCGGCCAAACTCCCCTGAGCTGGGGCTTTGTAACTTGTGGCAGCAACCGCTGCCTTGTTGATGGCGACGTCTGTAGCGTGCCCACAGTGGTTTATCTGCACCACGCGAGAGACGTCGCTGGGTTATTTATAACTCTGTGTTTTGGGCTGCTGGCTGCCGAGCTCCCCGGCTCTGCTCATGATGTGGGCTATTCATTACGCATCGAGTCTGTCTTAGCTGTTTTGTAGCTCCGGGCTGAGTTTCCCCCCCTGCTCCTTTGTGCTTGTGCTTCCCCTTCTCTTGTTTTTTTGTTTGGTTTTGTTTTTTTTTTAAAGGAGATCTGCAGAGTTGCACGTCTAGCAAGTCCTAAATAGCGCCTGGCTATTCTGGTTTTCCATCTCCTCAGCTCGCACTGGGTTAGTTCTTCATCCTAGGCTGATGAGCAAGGATTATGCTTTTGTCTAGTCTGTGGCTGTTCCATTTCTGGCTTGTATTATATTATTAGTATTAATAATAGTAACGATGGGTGCTGGCTGTGCTGGTTTTCTAGCTCGTGAGCAGATGAGAGCTCTCCGATTAATTCCTGCGATATTTCAGCTCCTAATTGAGCTTTAGCAGAGACAGACTTGAAAAGTTCCCACCATCAATTCAGGCAGAACAAGGCTGGTACTGGCCGGGGGCAGTTCTTGGAGGCAGGTGGTCCTGGGCCCGCCTTGCTCCGAGTATCCCTGAGCTCCGGGTGCTTTTGGAGGCAGGGACCATGGCAGTAGGGTGCCCATCGCTTTGCTCTAGCTCCAGCCTCGGGCTAGCACTGGGAGCAATCCCAAACAGCCTGATAGATGTGAGACTGAGTGGACAAATAACCCCACCTCAAACCTGGGCTTCACCCAAAGCAGCATCCTTGTCCCCGTGCAACCCAGCAAGCAGATAAATGTCCCCGCCAGCCCTGAGGGACCCCAGCAGCCACGGTGACATGGGCACCCTGTTGCTTACTACGAAGCAAGGTCTGCACTTGCAGATTGTGTTTGTTTAACCCTGGCCATGCTCCCTTGGTCCTGTCTATTTGTTTTTTCCATGCCTGGCAGTCACTAATGAATGAGGTTTGTCCAACTATCAACAAGACTTCCCATTATAAATAGGCCAAAAAGCAGAGGCCAGGGAACCGAGCGGTCTGGCAATTACTCTTGGTCCACGCTTTACGGACCCGGTTCTTCTGCAGAGGCCCTTGTGTGGGAGGGGACAGGGGACACAACGGGTGTCCTAGTCACCTGGCGTTGTGTGCTTTGCCAGTCTGAAGCAGTGGCCTTGGAGTGGGGATCCCTCATGTCACCTTATTCCTTAACGTGCAAGAACTGGTGCTTAGGAGGCAGGATCTGGCCAAACTCTCTAGCAGGGATGGTCTTCCCAATGCTATTGTCATTGTTGTCTAAACGGCCTTCCAGTACCTGAAGGGGCTACAAGAAAGCTGGGGAGGGACTTTTCATAAGGGCAGTTAATGACAAAACAAGGGGAAATGGGTTTAAGCTGAAAGAGGGGAGGTTTAGATGAGATATTAGGAAGAAGGTCTTCACCGTGAGGGTGGTGAGACACTGGAACAGGTTGCCCAGGGAAGTTGTAGATGCCCCCTCCCTGGAAGCGTTGAAGGCCAGGCTGGATGAGGCTTTGAGCAACCTGGTCTAGTGGAAGGTGTCTCTGCTGCTGGCAGGGGGGTTGGAACTGGATGATCTTTAAGGTCCCTTCCAATCCAAACCATTCTATGATTTCTATAAACATGAGTAATACCAGATGGGCTCTGGGCAAAAGCAAGCGTCAGCTCCAGCTCAAAGCATCCCGTTTGGGTTCGGGGCGGGCTCTGCACATCAGGGTGGGTGGGTCATAGCCAAAAATCCCACAGGTGCCAACGCAAAGGATGCCAGACCCTGAAACCCCGATCTCTTTACGCTCTACCTCTACGTCGGCCAATTACCGTGCACATATCTCAGACTTCAGCACTATGCAGGCGCAGAGGAAGCCTTCATCTCTCAATTTCCTGAGCTTTTACAGGTGGAAAGCTGACCCTCGCAGTTACTTTAATGAAGTCTTTTTTGCTGGGTAATGAAATGCACTCGAGTCACTTTGCTCCCAGATCAAACCGGGGACGTACGCTAAGGCGAGAGCTAATTCTTGCCGCACGCGAGCCGGCTCGGGGAGGAAGGGCCTTTGGTTAGTTAGGAAGCGGAGTGTTATCTGAAGCTTTGCACAAACCGGAGTCAGATTGGCGCACGGAGCATCAGAAGGCCACCGGCTGTGTCGTTATTTTATCAGCAGGCAGCGCTGTGCTACAGAGAAGCCCATTCTAGGTCAGCCATAAAAGGGATTTATTTTTTATTTCCCCCTCCCTCTCTCCTTTTTTTTGTTGTTTTTTTTTTTTCAGCACACAGTGTTTCAGGCTCGCTAGGTGTGAGGCTGCTATTTGTGTGACTCCAAAGGATATTGATTTTGGGGTAACGCCTTCCTATTTTGCCCTTCAGTTGTGCTGAGTACTGATGAGCTCAGCGGTTTTGACCGTGATCCGCTCAGGTGGGAATTTCAGCACAAGGCTGAGGCTGCGGATGGAAGTTGGCAATTCATTCTGGCAGGTTGCACGGGAAAACTCGCTTCACCCCTTTCCAAAGCTCACGGGGCACTACAGGGCTGCCTTCCCAGTTGGATCAGCCTGGGATAGCGGGATGCACACAATCCCAGGGCTGCCTCACCCCTTTCCAAAGCTCACGGGGCACTACAGGGCTGCCTTCCCAGTTGGATCAGCCTGAGATAGCAGGATGCACACAATCCCAGGGCTGCCGTGCGCAGGCATCTGCCACGAGGTCTGGTGCCGGGGAGAGCCAAGGTGTGATTTCATTACGGCTGAACATATTTACCGTAGTTTGAGCTGACAGTAGCAGCACCTGGGATTGCAACAGCGGCAGGATCCCAGCGAGTACCCGGGATGCTCGCCCTGTCGAACTGTGCCAGGGAATTACAGACTTTGCCTCAAGAGCTGGGTTGGGGCTCCATGTGCAAATCTTGTGATTTCAAGACGACCGCCTCGGCGAGCGGTAACGCGTGACCACGCTCACTAGTGAGGCGCCGCGAGAAGGGATGCTATCAAAGTATCAGCTGGTGGGATGCAGCCCCGGCAGGAGCATCCCACGTGTGTACTTTGCATGGATTTGTTTAGGAGCAAGATGCATACGGTTCGGCAGCCAAGCGTGGATGTGCAAATCTTGTGATTTCAAGACGACCGCCTCGGCGAGCGGTAACGCGTGACCACGCTCACTAGTGAGGCGCCGCGAGAAGGGATGCTATCAAAGTATCAGCTGGTGGGATGCAGCCCCGGCAGGAGCATCCCACGTGTGTACTTTGCATGGATTTGTTTAGGAGCAAGATGCATACGGTTCGGCAGCCAAGCGTGGCGAGCCGCTGCCCATCGGGTCACGCTAGCGCAGAGATGGAGGTAGCCGGGCGGGAAGCGAGCTTGCCACGTCCCCTGGGGACCTGGGACCTGCGCTTGGCCTCTCTGCCATTGGCACTCGCTCTTAGAAACAGCTGTCCAGAGCTAATTTATTTCCTAATGCTGCAGCAATGTTAATTTATAAATTACACTGGTAATTCGAGCTATTATTAATTTCAGATGGTGTAGGGCAAGCCTAATTAAAATATGACACCAATTGCCACACATATGTACCAAGGACTACCGTTTAAAATTTATAGGAATATTAAGTGTGACACTGGTCTCGGAGATGCTTTGCTCAGTAATTACAGCATGTCGGCTGCAGGAGACCCGATGGGGAACTGTAAACAAAAGGAAAGGAGAAGTTGTCCCCATCGAGGGGGTTATCAAAAACCCGCTCGTGGGCGAGGGGCTTTTTTCCGGGACGTGTGGTGGACGTGTCCTAATTGCCAGGTTTCTTTATTGAACTCTGTGTTTGTTGTCATGCCTCAATCTCCATCAACCTGGAGACTATCACGGCCCAACACCTGTGCCTCGCAGCCGAGCACCGTGGGTTTCCTAGAGCGCTTCAAAGCGAAGCGAGCTCTTGCAAGGAAGGGAGGGAGGGAGGGCTGTAAGATGCCAGACCAAAGGAAAGGATGCTGAGAGCATCTGCCAGGCTTTGAGCGAAACCAGGAGCTGTGGTGTAGCCCGGGCTGGGGAGAGAGGGGCGAGTGCGGTCTCCCCAGAAAGACCACAAAAAATAAGCCTGGAGCAGCACAGGGACAAAGTGTTTCAGCTGAAGGGAGATGTTGGCATCACAACTAATGGGGAATAAACTGGCTGTGAAGTAATTGAAGGTGGAAAATTAGAGAGGGGTGTTTGGGTAGAGCTGGGTGAGCCCAGAGGTGCCGCCCAGTGGGAGGGTGGGGTGGGATGCGCCGATGCCAAGGAGAGATGATTTCAGGTCAGGGTGACTGGGGTGCAGGTTTGGCGAGGACCAAGCCACGGGTTTTCTTGGGGTTGTGGGGTACAGAGACGTGGGTTTGCAGCATGAGTGTCCTAGGGCAGCGTGACACCGTCACAGATGGTGACGGGATGGTGGACACAGGTTTGTTGCACCTCTCCATCGTTCACAGTCCTCTCCTTCTGTCCCTACAGCCGTGGGCTTCATCAGCGAGGACGAGTACCTGGAGATCACGGGCATCACACGGGAGCAGTCGGGCGAGTACGAGTGCAGCGCTTCCAACGACGTGGCAGCGCCCGTCGTCCAGCGAGTCAAAGTCACCGTCAACTGTGAGTCGCCTCAGGGTTGTCGGGGGTTAACCAGGGGTGGAGCAGGTCCCTGTGTCACCCCATAAGGGGGCAGGAAGCAGGGAGAACGCAGCTTTTGGGCCCCAGAGCGAGACAGGCGGCGGCAGTTTTTCGGAGCAGGTGGTGCTTTGCCTCTTTTTCCCCCTTTTTTTTTTGAGCTCCATTTGTTTTCCGCCGCCTCCTCCTCAGCTGTCTCCCATCAACCTGGGTTTTCTGCCTGTGGTGAGATGCTGTGCTGATAACCTCCGGGGAGAGGAGAGAAGTGAGCAGTAAATAGGAAATTTTTTTTCTTCCTTCAGACAAAAATGAGAGAAAGAAAGTGAGCGAGGAAGAAAGCAGCATAATTTGTGCTCAGAGAGAGGTGAAACCCCTCTCTGGATACACCTTCAGCTGCTTGGGGTTAGCACAGGGCACACAGGGTACCCAAGAGCCAGGGTCTCCAGTGCTCGGACAAGCCCTCGCCGGGCTGCAGTGTGGGGTCCCCCACGAGTCCAACAACCCCTGGACAGCAGCGCCAGAGTGGCCAGAGCTGGGCGTGGGCTCGGGGATGATTTGTGCTCCTTCCTAAGCACAGGGAAAGAAAAGAGAACCTGAGGAGCAAGGGGAGGAGGTAGGAATCTCTGAGGCTGCCGGGCACTGAACCCAGCA